ATGTATTTTACTGGAGAAAATAAGTGAAAATTGAAATAGTTAGAACTGTTTGTTGTTGTTGTTGTTGTTGTTGTAAACAATAGTGATCTCAGTAAGATTTGGTTTATATATCAAATCATCTATCTTTGCTCACCACACATTCAGCCCTTCTCACCCTCAGGTGTGAATAAACTACACAACCACAATATCTTATCGGTATGAGTAGCAGGTAATTATCGTCTGGAAAAGAAGCATCACCTCCTCTCCAACCATCCAATCTGTGACTGCACACATGCAGAGTGAATAGACACATCTGAATAAGTTGGTGTGTGTGTGTGTGTGTGTGTGTGTGTATGATTTCCTGTTGACTGCTCAGTGCTTGTTTACATCTGAGAGCCTTTCTGCCCTCGATTCATGCCGGGCCACGATGCGTTCATGCACACACGATTGTGCTGATGTGAATGTGTTGTGTCAGTCGGGGTCTGAACGTCTGAATAATGAATGTGTTTCCAGGCATGACTCCATAGCTTTATAATGGTGACTCATTAATGTAGAGCCTCCATTTATGTATGCATGTCTGTGTGTGTGTCTGCCTGCATGTATCTTCCATGAGTCACCTTGTTAGTTTGTCCCACATGTGGCGTGTGTGCAAATATGCATTTGGTGTTATGTGAGTTATTCATGCTTCAGCACTGTAGTGTGATCTTATTGGATCTCTATTAGGACGTGTTTGAGTTTATTCCTGATTTTTTTGTGCTCTGTTTCTTTATGTTTTTGTTTAATATAGCTCGTGCAGCTGTGTTGTCCTATTGTTATGTTATTTTGTTATTGTTAGCGAGTGAAAAGCTACAATAAAATGCTTATGATCTATAAAATGTAACAGTATTTAGCTTTTGCCATTAAAATAATATAAAGGCTTCACTGTTTTAACTGTTGTAGGAGCGATGTTGTATCTTTAAAAGCTTCTTTATGTAATTAAAAGTATTAATTCAAGATAATAACAAAAACATTGTCTTCAGGTAAGTTCAGATTGAACACAAAGCAAATTTTTTGATGTGTTATTCATCACAAACCGACAGTACAGACAGGCGTAGCTGTTAGCAACATACCGGCTGTGTGAATGCGTGTTTGTCCTCATCTCAAGCTCAGACAGATCTCAGACAATGAACTCAATTTCTTGTTGTTTTCCCCCAGTTTCTCTAGTTTTTCTGTCAAGTCTTGGAACATTAAAGACTAGATTTTTCAAGTCCTAAAACAGCAGTCAAACATTTTCACTTTGTGTTGACCTGCCTTGACATTAGTCATTAGTTAGTTGACTAAAAATGTAATTTGTAGAGGTCTAGTGTGTAGGATTTAGTGACATCTAGAGGTGTAGTTACTGATTGCAACGCCCTCGCATTGCCCTCAAGCGAGTAGGAGAAACTATGGTGTCTGCAAAACTTGTGAAGAATGCTAAAAGGTATCTAAACCTATCTTAGAGACAGTGTTTGGTTTGTCCGTTCTGGGCTACTGTAGAAACACGTCTCATTCTAAGGTAACAAAAACCACAACGATTCTTATTTTCAGGCGATTACACACTAATGAAAACATACCTGTGAATAATATATTTAATTTCTGCCAATAGATCCTCCTAAATGTTACACACTGGAGCTTTAAGATTTACTAGAAAAATGACAGTGAACTCCATCCACTGAGGAAGACCGTGAGAAGCGCCTGAAAGCTCTGGAAGAAGACAGTAAATGTTATTTATATTTTAACATATTTCTCTACACGCCTGCGTCCTCTGCAAAAGGACAAAATCACCATGAAACTATGGATGCTTCAGTCAAATGGTCGTGTGCCATCATAAATGTGGTTTGTGTTGAATGACCAGTGTATGGATGCTGTTTCTGTAGGCATGTGTGTGTGTGTGTGTGTGTGTGTGTGTATTATGCTTGCATACTTGCACACATATGCAAGTATAATGCAAGATATGCAGGAAAATGTGTGTGTGTGAGAGAGCACACTTGTACTTCTATCCTTGTGAGGACATTCAGGACAATGAGGACATTGTGTACAGTCCTCGGTTTCAGGGTTAAGTTTATAATTGGGTTTAGGTCAGGGTTAGGTTAAGGTATATAGCTATAATGGTTTGGGTTAAGCTATAATTACCACTTTCTTATAACCAGAAGAGTTTGGGTGATGTAATATTTGTCATCTGCACATGTCTGCGAGCGTCTGCAGCCCAAGATTTATGACTCTGTACTCGCAGCTGTAATTGATAACGGCACGTGTGCACATTCATCTCATATCAGTGTTACATAAACACAAGTATTGGGTTATTATTTTCATACATTTAACATATTTATAATTAAATTATGAATAATATTTATGATTAATGACTAATTGATAGTAAACAGTAAATACAACTCAATATTCTCATATATAATTTAATTATTAAATATAATTATATATATATCAATATAATAACATAATAAAACATAATAAAACAATATAAGTATATAGGGTTTTAATGACAAGTTTATTATTAACCCAAAATTATCTCGTTTAGTGGAATATTTGGTTCTACTTGTTCTCAAATTCCACAGCTTTCAGTTACTTAAAGAAATAATTGTGTTTCCTTCAAGAGTGCATTGTTAGGAGTTTAGAGGTAAAATGTTTGTGATGTGTATTAGAGTGTGTATCTCACCTCGGTACAAGATGGGCTTCCATGCGGTGTGTGCGGTAAGTTGGTGACTCTCTGCGACCTGAAGGCTGAGGGCTCAGGGTGTATCGCGAGTCCGAACTGGTCTCGGACCAGGAAGAGATCGTCCGGTTCCCTTCAGAACTCATCTCTGCGTAAAACCTTCCCAGTTCATGGAACCCCAGTATCCAGCCACCACTGATAACAAGAACCAACAAAAAAAACCTATCAGTAAAACCTTGTGAGAACCAGCCTCACTGCAGCTCTCAGTTTCTCTTTTAACTGTTTTTTTAACTGTCACGCTGCTTGGATGCAAGGATGGAGACCCACAAGCTGCCCCAAAACACACTGATCTCAGAGGATGCACTCATCAGAATCCATTTCCTTTTTCTTTCATCATCTTTTCCCTCCAATGTGAGTCTTACCTTCTCGAGCTCTCTCAGACTGGCGGTGAAGTTGCTGGCTTCAGACCGCCGCAGGGCGCACAGCATGGGGGGTGGGGCCTGTCTGGAAGGGGGTGGAGCATCAGCCGGCGATGGGGTTGAATGAGGAAGTGCCCGGAGGAAGGCGTCTAAACCAGGGAAAGAATGACAGAGAAATTAAAGGTGCTATGTGAAGCATTTTCAAAGCTGAACTGAAATTTAAATCTACTTTAAGTAAAGGCTAATATAAAAAAAATCTGCATATTTTTCTATTTTTTATTTTATTTTTGTTAATATTCGGGAAGCATCTAAGACTGGAGCCTCTCAGTAAGCTGATGAGTTACAACTAGTGCTAGATGACTGATCACTGATGGAGATCAAACTGTGTCGGCTGCAGTTGTTGGTACAAGAGGTTTTTTCCATGCTGTCAGCTATTAAATATTTAAGCTGTCCCCTGGAAGGATCCATCATGCTGTTGAGTTTGTATTCTACTCAGAAAGTGGAAGCGAGTTAGCCTAGCTTGCTTGCTAAGAGAAACCCCAGTGGGTTCACTTGTTAGTGAAACAAGGACTGGATATAGCGTTGGAAGTGGGGCTCCGTTTATTACTATGGAAGCTGCTCAGCGGCGCATGAAGCCAAAAAAGACCCATTTCTGGATCTGATTCTGATCATTTCTAGATCATTTCTTCCACATCCTGCAGCCCATAGAACCAGCGCACCAGAGGCTTCCACCTGCCACGCTGCCAACTTCCAGTTTAGCCCTCCACTAACTTAATTATAACCATATTACAGCCGCTCCTTTCACAATGTAAGGCATGGGGGAAAGTATATTTGGGGCCCCTGTGCATCACCTGGCGGACACCATTGCTGTTATAACACAGTTGGGCCAATATGTCAAATCATAAATTAAGTGATATTATAATTTATTTTGAGTGCACGCCCACACACATACAGTACTGCAATGACATGTAGAGGGCGCTATCACAGCTGACCACATACATAAAATGTCAAATTTGTACTTTTCCCTCAAATAAAAACTTAACAAACTTGATTTCTTAACAAAAAAAGATTTAAAATTTCAGTTGACAGCAGCTTATAAAACTATAAATAATTGAATGTATTTAAATGAGAACATGTAGGAGATGATGCTTGCTTCACTAAATTAGGACCACTTTTCCCATCAGCCCATTGCTTATTAATAAACATGTTAAATTCTATTACGATGTAGACCTGATCTATTAAAAAAATTGTCCTGAGATAACTTC